CCAAACTACACCCCCCCCACATGCCATAAGCAATGAGTAATACCTGCATTATTTTTCTTGAGTCTTGCTACTAGTTTTTACAAGGAGGTGAGTAGCGCTTGTCCATTGCCCAGATACTGTCTGTTTTGTAAATACATAGATGGGGAGGAGGATCAATTATCCTCCTCTCAAATCACTAAACTGTTGCTTACTTTAGAAATACATGTGAACCATTTTGGAGAAACAGCTTGCAGAGGGTCACAACTGAGAAATGGCAGCAAAATAGAGAGAAAAGGGGTAGAGATGAAACACCACAAATACTCAACATTTTGTGTATTTTCAGAAGCATTATTAATTCCTTCCTCCCCTGCCTTTAGCAAACCTTTCTCTGGTTCAAACAGTGAAAAAATGGGAGGGTTGCCAAAGTGCTGGTTCAGCACAAGGGAAGGAAAGGATGCCTGGTGCCTGTGTCAATAAACCTCACTGTAGGATTTGGAGCTGGAAAATTACCAAGCAATTATTACAGAGTTTTATCACATCTGGTTCTTTTTTTTTCCAGTGGCCCCAATGAACCTTTTAGAAATGGAAAGCTCTAAAAGGCAAATTCCATATGCTAGCTCTCCACAGCCCAGATTGCAGTGGGCAAGGCAAATGCAGCTTACTTACATCCTAATACACTTCTGCTTCTGCCAGCATGCTGAAGTGGGCTCTGCTCCCGAGATTAGAACAAGAAAATCAGTTCAGTTCACTGGGAAGCCATCCAAGGTGAACCACGTTAGAAGTGCTGCACCTGTTTCAGAGCTGTGCCATGATCCTTTTTTTCAAAAATAAATGAGCTAATTGGTGTTACATAAACAGTGGATGGTTTTAGAGGCAAAAAGTAAACAATATGTGACACCAGATACCCATGAAATTTAAATTCAAAGGGATTACTGTCAAATTTAAATGTTTTTTGTAACCAAAGAGAGTCCCAGTTTTACTAGCGAAATGGATTAATGTGATCTTTTATAAAATATCTAAGATATACATATATAGAGAAATGTTTTTAGAAGTTTAAATCAAGATGCTTTCAGCTTTCTAAGTCACATGCTATAAACCTATTACTGTGAAATCTGAGTTAGTCATCACCTTCAGAGGACTGATAATGTTCCTGGTTCGGTATTCAAAATGCTCTTGGTTCAGTATTCAAAATGATTTGAATGCTGAACTGAAAATGATATTGAGATTTCCAGAGAATATGTGCACATGGGTGTCTTGAATATGAGCCTGTTCCTTTTTCTTTTTTCTGCTCAATCCGTCTTCTTCCCTCACTGACCAATGGCAGTGGAATGAGGAAATAATGTAAAATGGCTCCCTTATTCAGATTTTCGTCATTGCCTGGTTGGTGCGGTCCAGAGATGGCAGTTTAATTTAGCCAGTATTTACACCACTTTTAGTATCAGTGGGAGAAATTTCATTTATTTTGATTTATTGAATGTACCTCTACCCAGTGCTTATGGCATGTGGAGTTGTGTGTGTAGTTTGGATTTTATTTTTTTTGTGTGTGTGTGTACATACCTACTCACAAATATACACCCAGATATGTATACACACAATAAAATATAAACTATGCACATTGAGTTACCACAAATAATTTACTAGACACCTTGCTATCTGCCCCAGTATAAATCACAATAGTTTGTACAGCCCACAAACCTTTGGAAACCCTCTACTCCCTTACCCAATATATGCAGATCTCTTCCGACAGTATTGGAAAGGAGATAATTTAGAAGTCAGACACAGTGAAGATAAGTTGCCTCCTTAAGAAAAGCTAAAAAAAAAGAAAAAACACATTTAAGAAGTTGAATACTCACTAGGTGAAATCAGGGGGTTGCAACAGACACAGACAAAACAGCCAGGTTAGCATTGTATCTGTTTGGCTCTTCCATTTTAGAGGGTTAGCCTCAAGCAAAGCATATGGGATTAGTTTTTCCTGTAATCGGAAAGCCCAAACAGAATAGTCAGGCATATGGAAGGAAAACTCCTTAAAGCCAGCTCAAGGGGAAAAAATGGAGCTGTGGCCTTATTTATATATCAGTTAATGTAAGTAAGACCTAAAAGGTCTTTATGAAGTTTTGTGTTTGTTTTATTATTTTACATTATCAAGCCATATCTTTGCAGCCCAGAAGAGCTTCTGAGATTATAAAAGAAAACCCCCTCTTTTTTCTTTTGTAGTTGTGTTTAATCAAATAACAAAATTTTGGAGAAATGTTATCTTAATTAAAAAATGAGCCATTCCACCTCTCAAAGTAGTGAGAGAGCTTACAATATACATCCTTGGGACAACACTGCAAGTCCCTTCAAAACCAAGAAAACACAGAGCTGACATTTGTAATGTTTCTATAGTTAAAAAGATTCAGAAACAGTCCCATCCTTCTAAGTGTTCTTAATAAAGCATTATGTAGCAAACAGGGGACTCAGGCCCAATTTAAAAAATATCTTTTGCACATCATTAGTAGCATCCCATATTTATATTTTCTGTCATATGCATATTTCTTTCATGAAATTTTGCTTACAATTGGCAAATTGACAGAAGAGCAAATCTGCTTTCTCTTACAGCTGTTTCTAGTTAATAAACATGCAGCAATTGAGCATGGACTGCAGAAATACACACACACAAATCCCCCCAATTAAAAATAGCAATATTTTCACACTTTCCAGCACCTTCAAAGTACATTACAAAGACATCAATATTAAAAAGTATTTCATTATAAACCCAGGACTGAAACAGGAGCTACTGCAATATTAGTCATGACATTGGCAAAATACTAGCAAATAACAAAGGGGGGAAAATACCCTCTTTTCCCTTTAAAATACTGTCATTTCCTTCTGTTTAAATATATTAATTTGGGGCTAACTGTATTGGACATTCTAGCCAAATATGCTGTAGTCAATACATTTGAACAAGGGCTGAATTTGGCCTTGGGATCCTAAAGTCTTTTGTAACACTTTGCTGATACCAGCAGCTTTGGTTTTAACTTCAGCTTGATCCTTAGTATATGCTCATTGAACCTTTGAGGTTCTAGTACAGCTCAAGCTGAAGTCATTGTGAAAAGAGAAACTGGTGATTTTATAGTCTGAAATTTTTTATACTTTCCACAGCTTTACCTTGTCAGTAGAACAAAAACGTTAAAAAATTTCCAGTTCCTTGTTTTGGAGTTTCTTGGCCTCTGAGCTCAAAATCGTCACTGAGAACCAGATATTGTGGCTTTCTCAGAAATTAGTGTTGCAGGTCTTAACAGCTTTAAAATATTCACACCAACCCTTCCATAAGAAGAGATCCAAGAATTTGGTGCTGGCTGAAACAATCCTCATGGGATGGCCTACATTCCAAGATTTTCAGAGAGATTAAATTTAAGCATGGTCTTTTCAACTAGAATAGATCTCTGCTTTAAAATCCTGACCAGCTGAATTTTTTTTATTTTAATTTATTATTGCACATCCTGTTTAGGTAGTGAGACAGAAGCATTGATTAGGCCCTTTTACAGGCTTTTATACATCAGTTCATTTCTCTCAAAGCAGCCTATCCTTTATATTTCCCCTAAATTAGTGTCAGTGAGAGTGAGGCAGAACACACAGAGTGTTGTAGTTGTGACTATTTCAGGGTCCCTTTTATTTGCAAGGGAGTGTAAGAAGTTTAGAGGAATAAAGAATGGAAATAAAAATGTTTCCCACAATGGTGAAAACAAAGCCATCTGTAGTCTTATGCAATAGCTAATTTGGATAAACACATGGTCGTCTTATGGTTTCTCTCATCCTTCCATCTCTCTTTCCATCCTGTTGTTTACTCTCGTCTTTAAACAGACTGCACATTTTTAGGAGCAGGGACTACAAAGTGAAATCCTAGTGCGTGCTCTCTCTCTCTCTCTGTGTGTATATATATGTATATGTGTGTGTGTATGTGTGTGTGTGTGTGTGTATGTATGTATGTGTGTGTGTATGTGTATATAT